AAAAAGTTTTTGGTCATAACAATTTGTTCTTGTTTCAACCTTTTAATGAATTCTTTCTTATATCAGTTTGAAACATCCGGGGAATTTGAAAAAATTTCAACTAGCGAGGAACGCCAATCCTTTATTGGAAAGCTAGATGAGGTAGGCATTTCTTTATTCAACCCAAAATTCAGCTTCATCATATCTCTGTCCTAAGTTTTCTATTTAACCTGTTGTCTTTTTCTTAGGTGCAAGAGTGGCTTTACACCGATGGTGAAGATGCTACTGCTTCAGAGTTTCAGGAACGCCTAGAGATGCTAAAAGCTATTGGTGATCCAATATTCTTCAGGTATATTCCAGTTTAGTTTCTTTGGTTTAAGTTTAATTGAGGGTAATACTGCATTCACCAAGAAAAAAGAACTGGGCAGTGATGTATAATTTTCAGATGTATGAATTTCTTCAAGTTAAGTCCTGTGTCAAGTCAATGCAATGTATCTGATCTGATGAATTCTTGGGTGCAGATTCAAAGAGCTTACCGCACGGCCAGAAGCAGTGGAACATGCTCGAAAGTACCTTGTTGAGGTGCAACAGGTAATTCAGACACTGTCATTTTTATAAACTTGGATTATATATCACAGTTTAGAAATTGAGCTCGAGGATATCGTTACTAAACACACTTAAGTTTTACATGTGAAATGGTTGCCATAGAAGGTCAATCACCATTAAATATTTTAAAAGGTATTAATAAAGTCCACACCATTAGTAAACTATGAGATGCGACATATTCATTTATCTTTTCCTCAATGTGTTGCAGATTCTAAGTGCATGGGAGTCGAACAAACCCTGGATTCCGAAAGATCGAACAGATGAGGTGCTTCAATCATACATGATCCGACTAAAAACTCTTTGTCAATTGTAAATAGTAGTTGTAGTAATGATCAAATTTAGCTGCCCTTTGATGGCCTCTGACGCTTAAGGTGTGGGAAATTTATTTGTGTTTACCAGGTTGCGAGTGATGCTGACAAGTTGAAGAAGTGGTTGGACGAGAGCGAGGATGAGCAGAAAAAGTAAGTAATTGTTGTTGCTGTATTGATTTCTTTTGACATTATTAAGGTAACTTGTTGATGTCAACTATGCACGCACAACACATATAATTAAGGAAACATGCGGTGATAGCCCATTTCCCTTTGCTTGATATCTTGCTTTATGTTGACGATCGTTGAATGTACGGTGTTGCACATTGGTGCTGAATTTTTTATTTGGTTTGAAAGTGTTGCTTTTTTCGTTAAAAATCCTGCAGTCAGAAGTAACTTAAGTGCATAATTTCACCCGGTCCTTGAATAACTATCAAGTATAGTAGCAATTTTATGACAGTGCTTCCATTTGTTTAACCTAGTTTTGTTCTTCCTTGAAGGACTCCTGCACATAGCAAACCAGCATTCACATCGGATGAAATGTTTGGGAAGGTGTTTGATCTGGAAGACAAGGTATCATTTCGATTCTGTTTCTCGGTTGGGAAAATAAATGGAAATGCGATCCACAACCTATTTCTATACAATTGTAATGCTCTTATCGATGATTTTTTCTTTGTCTAGGTTGCCAGCGTCAACAGAATCCCCAAGCCAAAGCCTAAAATTGAGAAACCCACAAGCAATGAAACCGAGAGCAGCGGAGAAAAAGCCAAAGATTCTGACTCAAGTTCTGATAATTCCTCACAAGATGACCAGAAGGCCGGAGACTTAGATGACTCAACAAATGAAAAAGTTGAGCCAGCGGGTCACGATGAGCTATGATCTAATCCAAATGACATGTCAATTAGCCTTAGTTACTGCCTTCCCAATCACTGTGGATTTGCATCGATACAGAGGAAGGGAGAGTGCACCTGCAATTTTCAGACGTTAGAAAAGAGTAGAGTTTGAGCCCCTTTTTCAGTTGGTGCGGTAAGCCTTGTGTTTGGCGGTCTGAAGAAATATTTGCTCAGGGACTTCTTCTGTCATGTTACTTACACAGCTTTCATCTCATACCCACATTACGGAGGGGCACCGATCGATTTGCTGCGTCGCCTCGCTAGAAGTCTTGATCGTTATGTTCTTCAGACGATATGATATTTATAGGGAATTTTGCTGTTGAGGAAGACTTTGTATCGTCTTATTTAAGAGAAAAGACTAGTTCTTTTCAGGTGACACTTTGTGCTCTCTTTGTGGCCTTTTCCTTCTCCTCCTACTTTTCTTTTCTCCTCCATTTTAGCCTCTCACAAACGTTTGTTTAGTCATGTTCATTGTTTTCATTTGATTTATTTGATCTGACGGTTAGAAATAAAGAGGGGCTTGTGAGAATTTAAAAAGAATGTGAAAATCACATCCTAAAATGATTAACTAGAATATTAAAAAGAAAGAAAGGAAGCTATTGTCGACATTTCAAAGAAGTCATTCACATAACTTTTCTCTCGTGTTGTGTTAAAAAGATAAGTGCATGATTGCTGACATGAGCGTAGCTGAGTCTGAGTCTGAATTTTGTTTTGCAGTTTAGATAGATTAGAATGCGATCTAAAAAAGCGAGAAGTGAGTCAATTTATGTTGACTCAACAAATAACAGTTCCCTCCAAAATACAAGAATAACACAACAAATATTGAATTGCTCGAACCACAAAGCAGCACTCTTTTCTTCTGCCTCACCAACTGCAACTACCAACACCAAATGAGGCTGAGATCAATAGGTGAAAAGGGGACCCAAGTCTTCAACCAAAACCTGAAAATTACCCGGTTGGGGAAGTCGGGTCGGATCGACCAAGCGATTAAGGTTTTCTCACAAATGCCTCAAAGGAACACTGTAACATACAATTCCATGATCTCTGCCTATGCTAAGAATGGTAGAATTGGTAATGCACGCCAACTGTTCGATAAAATGCCGCACAGAAACTTGGTTTCTTGGAACACTATGATTTCCGGGTACCTGCACAATGACAGGGTTGAAGAAGCGTATAGGATTTTTGTTGACATGCCGGAGAGAGACCTTTACTCTTGGACTTTGATGATAACTTGCTTTACTCGTGGCGGTGAACTCGAGAGAGCCAGAAAGCTGTTCGATTTGCTTCCGGATAAGGGGGATGCTGCTTGTTGGAATGCAATGATTGCAGGGTATGCGAAGAAGGGGCAGTTTGACGATGCTAAGAGATTGTTTGATGAAATGCCGGAAAAAAATTTAGTTTCGTGGAATTCAATGCTTGCTGGGTATACGAAGAATGGGGAGATGCAGTTGGGAGTAAAAATTTTTGAAGAGATGCCTGAGAGGAATGTGGTTTCGTGGAATTTGATGTTGGATGGATTTTTTGAGGTTGGTGACTTGGATTCTGCTTGGAAGTTCTTTAAGAAGATTCCGGACCCGAATGTGGTTTCTTGGGTCACGATGTTATGTGGGTTTGCGCAAAATGGGGAGATCGCAAAGGCAGAGGATCTCTTTGAGCAGATGCCAAGTAGAAATGTGGTTTCTTGGAATGCAATGCTTGGAGCCTATGTTCGAGACCACCAAATTGACAAGGCTGTTCAATTATTCGGGGATATGCCTGAGAGGGATTCTGTATCGTGGACAACAATGATCAATGGGTATGTTCGTGTTGGTAAGCTTGACGAAGCAAGGCAATTGCTCAACCAGATGCCATACAAGAATATTGCTGCACAAACAGCAATGATGTCTGGATACTTGCAAAATGGAAGGATGGATGAAGCAAGTGAGATCTTCAATCCCATTTCCATCCGGGACGTTGTTTGTTGGAACACAATGATTGCAGGCTATGCTCAGTGTGGGAAAATGGTTGAAGCTCTGTCTCTTTTTAGAAAAATGATTAACAAGGACATTGTTTCTTGGAATACTATGATTACTGGTTATGCTCAAATAGGGCAGATGGAAAAAGCACTTGAAATCTTTGAGTCGATGGGTGAGAGGAGCATAGTTTCGTGGAATTCTCTGGTTACAGGTTACGTGCAAAACGGGTTATATCTGGATGCACTACGGAGGATCGTGAAGATGGGACAGGAAGGAAAGAGGCCTGATGAGTCGACTTTTGCTTGTGGTCTAAGTGCGTGCGCCAATCTTGCGGCTTTACAAGTTGGAAAGCAACTTCACCATTTGGTTGTGAAGTGTGGTTATGTAAATGACTTGTTCGTCAGCAATTCCCTGATTACCATGTATGCTAAATGCGGGAGAGTTGTGGATGCTAATCTTGTGTTCGAAGATATCAAGCGCGGTGATATTGTTTCTTGGAATTCTTTGATATCTGGGTATGCTTTAAACGGAGATGGTGAAGAGGCAGTAAAGCTCTTCAAAAATATGTTAATAGAAGGGGTGAATCCTGATCAGGTGACCTTTGTTGGGGTGTTATCGGCATGCAGCCACAGTGGGTTGGTTGAGTGCGGTTTAGAAATTTTTAAGAGCATGACTGAAGTTTACCTTATTGAACCTCTCGCCGAACACTATGCTTGCATGGTTGACCTGCTCGGTCGTGCAGGGAGGCTAGAGGAAGCCTTTGAAATGGTGAGGAATATGAAGATCATGACAACTGCTAAAATATGGGGTGCATTACTTGGAGCTTGTAGGATACACCGGAATCTACAACTTGGAAAGTATGCTTCTGAGAAGCTTTTAGAACTTGAACCTAATAAAGCTTCAAATTATGTGCTCTTGTCCAACATGCATGCTGAGGCCAGCAGATGGGACGAGGTTGAAAGAGTCAGGGTGTTAATGAAAGAAAGTAGAACGGGGAAGCAGCCAGGCTGCAGTTGGATTGAAATCAGAAATCACGTACATGCTTTTCTCTTTGATGATCTGGCGCAGCCTAGAACAGCAGAGCTTTCAAGCGTATTGAAGAGCCTAACCACAGAGATGAGAAACACAAGTTACATATCGACACCTTATGATTGACAAAGATTTACAACCTATGGTAACAGGTACTGCTTTCTCGCTCTTGCTAAGCTATTAGCATGATAGCATTTTATAGATCAGTAAATATACGACACGAGCATTCATTTATGATTTATCAATTGTTCTTCAAATAGAGAACTCATACATTGCCAAGGAAAATAGGAAAGAAACTAATTTGTTTCAAGTGATTTAGAGCAATTTACATGAAATTCGGCAATTATACTTATCTGCAGATAACACTCAAACTGGCTATTTATACAGTACCGTAAATGTTTCATCTGTTTAGATCAGCTATCTAATATCCTCTCCTTTTCTTTTTCTGGGCTTGAACAAAGTACAGGAGTAAAAAATACACGCAGGGTTACTCTTGTCCTATACGAATCAAGAGGGAGGGCACTCTCTTCTCTCAACGAACCCATAGACTTTCTTCCTCGCCGATTGGAAATTTATGTAGTGTTCCAATTAAAAGGAAATCCAAGTTCAACTCAAGGAGCAACATCCTGCTTCCGCAATGCTATCTCTGGTATCTTTTCAACCTAAGGACCATAGCCATTCAAATGCGATTTTTGCCATCTCCATGCAATCTGCAGGCTCTCTTGAAGTGTGTAGTGGGCTGTCCAATTCAGCTCCTGCCTTACCTTGGAAGGATCACTATAAACTTTAGCATAGTCCCCTGGCCTTCTGTCGAGGTAATCAACCTTTATGTCCACCCCTGTCGCCTTCTTGCATGCCTCAACAAATTCCTTCACTGAACTACCTGTGATGAAAATGATCCAAAATAACTTCAGGAAATGCAGGGCCAGCGAGGCAAGGGTAAGGAAAGGATGATAATAATTTCAAGGGAAATGACAGATTTCTTAACCTTTTCCAGTGCCGACATTGTAGATCCCAACCATCCCAGGTTGTGCGTTGGCGAGAGCTTTTACATGAGCATCAACCAGGTCAGTGACATCTATATAGTCCCTCACACAAGTGCCATCAGCTGTTTCATAGTCTGTTCCTCTGACCTAGAATCAATGACATAGACAAAATAATTCAATTTCTCACATTGATTTTGGCCTAAACAAGTGTACTGGAAAAGAGGAGGGGGACGGAGGGAGAAAAGTACCTTCAGTCCAGGAATAATCCCTCGAGCGGCATCAAAACAGGCACCAGAGATTCGTCCCTGCTCACGCAGCTCAGGTCGAGGAGCCTCTCCTAGTCTTCCCTCAGGGTCTGATCCTATCACATTAAAATATCTGGATACATAACCGTATATATGTTAGCTTCAGTTATACCCAAACTATTCATTTTGAAGAAATTGTTCATGCCTCCTGCTGTGTTGAAGAATTCATAGACAAAGTAGCGCGAGCACTGTGCTCACGCGCACACACACTTTTCAAAGAATTAAGCAGAATTCACGGCCTACCGTAAGATCATGACGGCCATGTTTGAGTTTTTGGAGAAATCTAGAATGATATCTTCTGCCATCTTCTTTGCTTTTCCATATGGATTGATTGGGACCTGAATTCGGACAATTATAAATATTGAGTATTTTGGAAATTAGCACATCTTGATACAACTGTTAATCTGTGTTTTATTTGGGTTGATGTACCAACACAACATTTAAACGTTGCAGTTAATACATGATTAACTGACAAACTAAACTGTGTTATGAATCTCACTTGCTCGGTTTCTTCTGTGATCGGCATCTTCTCAGGTTCACCATAAGTGGCACAAGTACTGGAATAGATCAATGTTTTTACATTGTGTGCTGCCATTGCCTCCAAAACCAACAGTGTATTTGATGTGATATTGTGATAATATCTGCAGAAGAACACTAATTGTATGTCATTAAAAGGTTAACAGAGAAGAAACGAAACTTAATGAACACGAAATTGACGATCGAATACCGAAGAGGCTCGAGTGTACTTTCACCAACATAAGCAACAGCTGCAAAATGCATGACAGCATCAAATGCATTCTCTGAGAAGATCTTATTGACCTAAGACAAGAATCAAGGAATATCCAATACGTTGTTCACCCGAGTTCAGTTCACCTTTTTCCACGGTTTAGATTAGTTTAAAGTAGAATATACAAAAGAAACATATTAGGATACGGCTTTTGCATCTCCGAGGTCAGCGTATATGAATTGCAGCCTCCCGGGTTGTGGAAACAACTGTTGAAGAACCCTAACAGCACCGATGTTTCCTCGAGAAAGATTGTCCTGCGAAAAGACACAAATTAAAGGGTTTTCAAGCGACAAATCATGTAAGAATTACGAAGAAAAAGCTTTCAAGAATGATCGATATATACCACTATCGTTACACGGTATGAGTCCTTCAAAAGCCTAAGTGCAGCATGAGAGCCTATGTAGCCAGCACCTCCTGTGACCAAGACATGCGTGATCCCTGCTTCATGATAAGAGAACTGCAGATATACAAAAACATGAGATGAATGTAAAGAAATCTTGTCAAAAAAAGAACAAAATCGAAAACTATAAATCGGAAACAGACCTTGTTGGGACTGCTAGAATCATGTGACTGCTTGAACAAGACAATGCAGAGGGTGATTAGCCCGGCAGCCGCGAAAATCTTGCCAGAGAATTTGCTCCTTCGTTTCGAGTCTGCAATATCCATGCCTGCAACTGCAACCAGAGAGAGAATTGGTTGAAAAATCAAATTTGGTAGTGAAACACTTTATTAAAAAGTGCTTATACAGGACTAAAATTGTCTATTGTGATGAGTCCAAAGTCTATGCTCGATGTGCCCTATATGCTTATTTACCTAATACAATTGGCCGACTGTGCCGACTTATCGTAGAAAGACTTATTGACTTATAGCTTATTTGAAAACGTCATAAAAACAAATGACATAATATTCAAATTTTGGGTGAGTGTATGGTAAAATTTCTGACTCCGTTCCTTGCTCATAAAAAGCCAAAAAAAAAAATCATAAATGATGATGATTTAAATACGAAAAGGAGTTATAGGCAAAGAAAGATGTATGGAGGTATAGTAAAATTCAGCATCGATATGACTCCCAATTCCGACCCAACAAAGAGCGTTACGAAAGTATTAAAAAAAAAATTAATATACTAGAAGGAAAAGGAGTTATAGGCAAAGAAAGAAACGTTACAGAAACATGGTAAACGAAGTGATTTAGACGTAACGAAAATATGGGAAACACAACTTTCAATGAATTTAAGGAACCCTAATGACAGAAACTAATGATTAAGCAAGGGCTGAGATTCATGAGGAGAACCTGAGGAGTCTCGGCTGCCACACAGAAACGTTAAACTGGTGACCTCAGAAACGCAGAAACCGGCCGGTCGAAACGAGGACTTGGGAATATAAAACGTCTCTAGTCGTTTTTGTATAAGGAGGAAGATTAGGTGGAATGTATCTATATTTATATATATTGAGCAAGTGTGAGACAAAGAAGTGTCACCAAAGTTATATGAGTGAAAAGGAAATAGCAACCGCCATGAATATTCGGAGGGGGAGAGAGAGAGAGAGAGAGGTCTTTGTGTTTTGCTAAACTGATGGAAAATGTATACAAACATTCCACGTGCATGGGCGGGCGGGGTTAGGGTCAGCGGCTTCAGCCTCACTCCCGGCCCTCTGCATGTGAATTGACCGGCCTGAGCCCGCAGCTTTAGGGTCTCAGCCCTCAGGCCAGCTTTGCTTCAATCAAAATCTTGAGATTATTACGTATAAGGAGGGGGAGAATCAAATACATGACCTCAGATGCGGGGATGGATGCTCGACTGTTTGAACCTTTTCTTAACAAAGAGGTAAATTTTGGGATTATCATTTGGTAATTTAGCTGTGCCTTAAGTCCACCATTCTACTTTGGTTCAAGACATGCACACATACTAATGGAGAGGAGGAATGGAATACAATACCTTGGTTGCGGAGATGAAATGCTCTTACCTACTCGTGTTACAAATATATGCTCGATCAAGGGGTAAATTTTGGTTGTGTACATATATGTATGTGGTATATGTTTACGGATAGATGGGAGCATTGAATACATGTCCTTGCCTTTTGCGTTTAATCGCTTCAGCTACAAGTCGTTGCTTAAAGAGGTGAACTTGGATTGCTTCGATATGTATGTGTTATATGTGTATTTCAAGAATGATGATTGCACTTTACGCATGATAATGGATTGAATTTGTTCTTTTTGGAAATCTACTAATTAATTGTAGTTCTTAACAACTATATATTGTCCTAATTAACTAGTCATAATTAATCTGGGATGGAGAGAAATTTTATATGAAACAAATGTATGAATTATATTGCTCGAGAGAAAACGACTAAACACCTAATCCCTAACCCTCTCTCATCTTAATTAGCTATATAAAACCTGGTCTAATTAGGTTCTCTCCTCACTCCTCAACTCTTAAACACTACTTAGTTGAAAGCAATTCCAAGTTTTCATTCATTGGCCTAAGTTGTATAGGTTAAAAATTGAGACTTTAGAAATAAAAAAAATTGTTATTGACACTTCAAAAAAAATTATTATTCACTCTTCTCTCTTTTATTGTCAATAACAATTTCGTAAACAAACTAACAACAATGTAATTTCATCGCAAAAGAGGGTCAACAATGAAAGAGTATTGTTATATGGACTAATTATGGCGTCAATACATCAGTCGGCTATATGCTTATTGTATCAATTATTATGACCTATTGTTAATTGAATTGTGACCGCAAAATGTAATTATCCAACATTATTGTGATTAAAACTGTTTCAAATTGAATGGTTTATTTTTATTATTTTTTGTTGAAATCCTTAGATTAAATGATTGTCTTTCACATTTAGAGTTATGTTTGTTACCAGATTTCTAACACCCTACTTTTCTTGCTACCCAATTTCTTGCTTACAAGGGAGAATTAGGCAACTCTTAAATCATCTCTGATTTCTCATCTTACACGTTTCATGAATGAGAAATTATTATCACACTTCCCTTTGGAAAATCTGTTAGCAAAATAATAGCAATAAGAGGTGATAAATTAATCTATTGGGTTGTTAACATGTACCAGTTAAGATCTGTTTAATTTAATTTGAACTTACGCAATTATTACCACAACCAATATCTCGTTATATTATGACGATACCCAATTAAACAGATCTTAACAGGTACTCGTTAAAAACCCAATGTGGTTTATTCACTACCTCTAATAGCAATAAAAACCAAAACGCACCGTCTCGCTATATTCTTCTCTAAATCCTAGGCTCTAGAATATCCTCTCCTAAAACGATGACGTGTCAACCAATCTCACCGTGGAGTCCCGCATGTTGATATGCATTCCCTTCTCAAGGTCCAATAATAAAAAAAAGGCATAAGTCCAAGTTGGCATTGTCACGCGGCAACACGCGTAACTCCATCGTCGGCTACAAATCAGATATTTTTATATGTGACAGTCACATTCTTACGTATCCTATTAAACACATTTATTTTTACTTTCAACATAATTTTATTAATTTTTAGTCATTATTTTTTCAATTCATCCGGTTTGATACCTAGAAATTAAAAAGTAAAAATGAGTATTTGGATAACACTATCCTATTACTAATGTATTTGTTGTTGTTAGAAATGTTTGTTTTTTGTCAATGTTGTTAGAAATGTTTATTTGGTCTTGATGACTAAGAAACACGTGATCACACACCCACAAATAAGATATCAAGAGTGATAAATAAATGAGTTTAATTTTGATATTCTAATTTAATTCAGTAGCAAAAATCAACCTTGTGTGACAGGAAAGCTTACCAAATGATCAAAATTAATGTAATTACATATTGGGTGGTATATTCATACACTCGTTATTTACTTCTAACACACTCTTTGTTAATTTCTAGCTTTTTATTTTTCAATTCATTTGATCCGACAACTGAAATTAAGAAGGGTGCGTGGTAAGTAAAAAGAAGTGTGAATATGTGTTTTTAAAATAACTGAAAGCGCTTTTGGTGAAAATGTTTTTAGAACTAATCTTCTTTAGTAAAAATGTAAGTAAATTCTGAAAAATTACTTAAAGTGCTTATTGGAAGAAGCACATAACTGATATTTCTTCTAGAAAGCACTTCAAGTGCTTTTGGAATCCAAAAACATTTTCTCTAAAATCACTCTTAATCATTTTAAAAGCACATTCAAATAAATCCTTATAACTAATACTTTACAATTCCACGATTATAACTTAAAACGATTAATAATATCATGTGACGAGTCAGACAACTAAACAATGACACGGAAAAACATCTTAACAATCGACCCGGACATAATGGTCCATTTACGCATCCGAGTCCGAATATCCGAGTTTCAATAGTGAAAAATGCAGTTGGAAGCCAACCAATGAGAGCGCGCCACCTCAACTCACCTTCTCTATCTGTATTTGCCCACCGCTTCTCTGGAGGAAGGCACGTGCGCCAATGCGAAAGTCGTCTTCTTCCTTTCGCGCTGCAAAGAAAAAATGACCTAACCCACATAACCCTCTCTTTCTCTCTCTCCTCCCCCTCTCTCTCTCTAATATCCCTCTCAGAAGAGAGAGGGGTTAACCCTTTTGGCCGAATTTGACCCTCGGATTCCCTTCGATTTACACTCCCTTGCCATCCCCCCATTTTCTTCCCTCCACCGCGTAATCTCCTACTGAAGCCTCCGAGTCTCGGCGCGGTTTGCTGTTTGTGCTGATCCGGACCAATACGGCGTAGTTTTTGCTTCTGCGGCGGAGCTTCGGGTTTTTAGGGCCGCGGACGGTGGTTTTGTTCGGTCTGTTAATATGGAGAGATCTAATGGCACAGATTTCAGGGACTTGCTTGAGAGTTCCTCGTCGGGTCTGCTCCTTCAAGATCTATTTTTTTTTTTCCTCTTTTGCTTAAGAGGTTGTCTGGGTGCTGAGAAAGTTGAAGGAAAAGAAAAGAAAATCATATATGTTTGTATGTCTTTGTAGTTCGAAGAATCTGAGGCGAAAATTGGCATGCTAATCTTTTTCCTTTTTCCTATCATTCTCACCAGAAAATAAAAAGTTAGGGTTTTAATTTTTCGACCTGCTTCTGTATCTTGTTTGGGAGATTGTATTGAAGTCGAAATTCGGAGTTTATGATTATTGTTTATGGATGTAAGCTTTTGTTGCTCAATAATTTCTGCAGAGAGTTTTGCTGAATTTGTCTTTAAGGCTGTTTCGAGCTTATATGATTCGGGTCAAGTTCTCGTCTTGACTGAATTGAGAAGCCTAGTTATGAGAAAGACTGAAAATTTGGTTGTCATTGTGTTTTGAATTGTATGGAAATAAGTAGTTGGGGTATATAATTCGCTCTTCGGTTTTTGAACAATGGCTTGATTTTCTGTTGTTAGTATGCACTGCGCTATTAGCACTTAGTACCATGACCTTGATAATTCGTTTTCGCTGCTTTACTTGTTTATGAACTGTTGAAATTGGCTCTCTTTTTTGGACACCTAACGCTTTTTTCCCATTGTCATACAGAGAATAAACTCTTTGATGCATCACAATATGAATTTTTCGGTCAAAATGTGGTGGACGAAGTTGAGTTGGGGGGTTTAGACCACGAGGAAGGCAGAAAACCTTTGTTCGGGCCTGCTGATAATGAGTACCATTTATTTGAGAAGGATGAGGTTAGTTAATCTTTTCCCAGCTTACCTTACAATGGTCCGTGAGGCCAACAGTGCAATAGTGTATTGTGTTCAATTTGCAGCATTTGTTGTTCTTTCTGAAGCATTGTTTCACATGCTAAATTGTTCGCTTACACTTAAGCAGCGTGCATATATTTTTCTTTATTCATTCTGAGTACTCAAACACCTGGCCTGATGCTATGTGCAACCATTTCCCTATTATTTTTATGCCTTGTTATAAGCTTCACCATTGTCTATTTAGTTTAATGAAATATGTTGCAGGGCCTTCAGTAATATAAAACATGTTTACTGACCTCAATCTTTCCTTTTGCATAGGCTCTTGGTATGGGATCTTTATCTGACATAGATGACCTGGCAAGCACTTTTGCAAAGGTCAGCTTTCTTAACTTTGATGACTTTGCAAACAGTTGAGTTTGTCTGCAATCAACTTCTGTCGGGCCACATCTTTTGTTTGACATGGTTTTGGAATGAAAGTTGTACGGCTGTACTTATCGTATAAATTCCTCAATATGACATTTTTTTGTTGTTATTTCTCAAATGTGGTATTGATGCTAGATCCTTGAGTTGTGTTTGATGTTTGTATTTTCGTCATGCATGCAAAGATCTTAGTGACGGTTGCCCACTTTCTTCTTTTAGAAGTACTATTAATTTATATCTCAGTATTGCATGCCTTTTGGTCCTGAATTTTTTTACTTCTTATCACTATGTTGATTAGCCGACCCCACTTAGTGGGAAAAGGCTTTGTTGTTGTTGTTTGTATCACTATGTTGACAGTACTTATCATAGGAAACATGACATTCAGTTGTGAGATACTTCAATCCTTTGTTTTTGCGTAGTGATACACATAAATTTGTGTAAATATATGAACTTTTTTTAGTATCTGAATATATCCTTTTATTTGTTCTTGAGGTATTATTTTTTATGCTGAATTGCTGATGTCATTTCGATTTTAACAATGTAAGACTGGAACGATAGAGCTATGTTTTTCATCCAGAATCTTATCTGCCACTTGCCAGTACTTACGACTTACCAG